ACTTCTCTGGAGCTGCCACCATCGGACTTCTATGGTAGCAGCAGTAGAGGGTGGGGAGGAACATGACAGAACTTGGGGAACTATTAGATGCCTGTTGACTCAGACATCAGGACCAGCTGTGAATGGAAATATATTTCACCTTAGATACAGTGAAAAAGAACAGAGCCGTTGACATTATTGAACAGGTGGAGACAAAACCTTCAAGATGCTTGCACATGACTAGTTTATGAGGGGGTTGGGCTGTTTTAGGAAGGACAGTGAAGCTTCCAAAATTTGGGTGCTGAAAATTGCACCCAATGTTTGCCTTGTGTAGGTCACATAAAGGTTAAATGACATAATGTATATAAAACACCTGGTGGAGGACTTAGACGAGTAGACTTGGACAATTCTTGGTTTCCTTCCTGTCCCTGGATCTCCCACCCACCTTAGGGATTTCTTTAAAAACAAAAAAACTGCCAGCCAGCTGCCACTGGAAAGATGTCAAGCAGGATAAGCTGCTGATAGGTGGCAACAATCAACAAAATTCATGTTCAGGTGGATGGAGCAGGGTCTGCCACTTCTGCCCCTCCTCTCATCACAGCTTGGAGGCAGCACAGAGATATGCCTTCTTTCCTGCAGAGGAAGTGTGTTCTCTCAGACCTACCTTGGCATTCCTTGATGTCTTAGAGAAGCAGATGACCCCGGCTGAGCAAGACAGTCAGCAGAACGGCAGCCCTTGATGCTGCAATTGGAAATTTCCATTCTTTGCTTGCAGCTCTGAAAAAAAAAAAAAAAAATCTAAAGAGCCCAGTAGCTGGGAAATTTCCACGATGGAAAATTTTAACATATTCTTTAGCTCTAAACTATGCGGGTTTATAGAGACTATTTTTTCTTTTCGTAATTTCCTTTTCTTTAACAATAATTTATCAGCATGGTAACACTACAGCTGTGAAAATAAGGAGGGCAAGATGACTTGGAAGGGAATGGTTATGGTGTGGCTAGTGGGAGGCTGTGCTATATACACGACTGACCACCAGTCCGTAGAAATGCAGATCGCTACAAGACCCAGTGGTTGGCAACTCATCCAAAATAGAGATAGTGTGCCCTAGAGCACTGCAGAGAAATCTGTGTAGAGACCAGAAGTGAAAAGTGGATGATACAACTTTGGAACAGGACCTGGTGAGTTCTGTTGCTGGAAAAAGCAATCTCAGGCAGATCCCTGAGACAACTACTTCTTCAGCTTAAATGTGCATAGAATCACCTGGGAATCTTGTTACGATGGGGATCCTGATGTGGTAGGTCTAGGGTGGGGCCTGAGACTGTTTCTAACTGGCTCCCTGGTGGTGCTGCCATTATGAGGACCACAACGTGAGTATTGAGGCAGTAGACGACAGGCCCTCATCAGTGTGAGGTCAGCTCACCTTCAGTATCAAAACACTGCCCAGAGGCTGCTGGGGGTGAGCTCCCTTGGGGATGTCTTCTCAGATTACAAAGCTAGGGTCCAGAGTAGAACTGAATGTCTTCTGGAGAGATGCTCTAGGCAAGTCTGGATAAAGTAGGTCTCTTGAAATGTGGGGATGCAAGCGGTTGCCAGAAGACTGTCTACTGTGGGGGATTCAAGTTGGGGGCCTCTAGAAATCAATGCCTTTACAGAGGACCCCCTGCATCTAGTTGGTGAGGATTCCTGAGCTGGTCCTGATTCCCGAGTGGTTCTCCAGCCCTGTGGCATGTGGGTGAAACACCAGTAGACGAACTCCAAATTCTGAGGGAAGACTGTTGATCAGAATGGTGTGAAGGAGAAAAGGAGTCCAGCAAATAGATTACTTCCACACCAGTCAGAATATCTGTCTCGCTTTTAGTGAAATGAAATAAAAGGGAATTGGAGAACTTCCCACTTTGCTAACAGCTATCTCACCGTTGTGATACCTGTTTTACTGACAGAGAGAGAGAGAGTAAGAGATATCAAAATCTATGGCACGTTTATTCCAGGGTGTTGCCTCCAATTTGATCTGTAATGTATCTGCTGTGTTTATTTTTAAGGCAACATTTGTCCCATTTTTCATTTTCCATTCAATTGAGTTTTGGATGGGTTATTACTACTTACTTTTCAAATGAAAGTACACAGAGGAGCATATGGAAGGAAAGGGAGAAGGGAGATTACAATCATAAAAATGTGATGTTGAAATCAGAGTGTAACGAGCAGGAAATGAATTTGATTATAATAAAAAGTATTAAAATATATATTAGAAGGAAATAAATGTGCTAACATCTACATGATATTTTTATAAATAATATGCTAACATCTGCATAGTATTTAAAATTCTAAATGGCTTACAGGATTGTTTACAGATTCAGACTTCTAGAGATTGGTTAATGCCCTACCTTTCAAAAATCTTTAGTTTGGGATCAAGGTATGATTCAGCCTTGAAGCAGGCTTCCTGATTACTTAAAAGAGATCACTTTGGCTTTTTCCTTACTATAGGCCCCAAGAGCAATTATTCACTTAAGAACCATCTTACAACCTACAGCCAATCAAATAGAATTTGATCCATCTAAAGTCACATTTTTTTAAAGGAGTGCTTTGTTATTGTTAGGTGAAAGTCATAGAACATACAACTAAACATTTTATAGTGAGTAATTGAAAGGCATTTAGTATTTTCACAACATTGTGCAACCACCACTTGTATCCAGTTTCAAAACATTTTCATCACCCCAAAAGGAAACCCCATATCCATCAAGCAGTTGCTTCTTATTTTTCCCTCATTCCAGCCCCTAGCAACCATCAATCTACCTTCTATTTCTGTGCATTTACCTATTCTGGGTATTTCATATAAACAGATTCATACAATATACAGCTCTTTATCAAGTCATATCTTCTTAATAATAAGTATCATAAGGATAATAAAATCTAACATTATTGAGTGCTTAAAACAGGTGAGGTATTTAATCCTCAGAACAAGCTTAAAAATGGGTAGATGAGATTATATGTAGATGAGAAAACTGGGACTCAGCTTAAATGAATTGCCTGAGTTCCATATGTTATGGCCAAGCAGGGAATAACCTTCTTTGGTCAGGTCCATTTACTCTACTGCTTTTTCCAAATGCTACAGCTACATCTCAGCTTCATTTTCCTTATCACAGACAGATGGATAGATACTCCTTTTCAAGTTTAACAACTTTACAGAGCTTGATTCAAATACTGAATGTGTTGTTAGTTGCTTACAGCTGCTATTTCTCTAGCAGTGCAGTAAGTCCAGGCAAACTCTTTTGAAGAGCTCATTAGAACTGCTAAAATAAAGTCTTAGAAGCAGGTGCATTCATTAGCTGAAATGCAGACGATTATGTTAACAGTGCATTCAGGTGACAAATTTAAAGGCATCAAAATCATGGCGGATAAAAGGATTTTCAAAGCTAAAGTTAACTTCTTCCTTTGTGGGGCTCTTTGTTCTGTTAATCATGTGACTTACTGCAGCTGTCAACATGGGGACCTCCAATGTTATCTCACAAAAATAAAGCTGTTTCACAGTATCACATTTCCTTTACAATTTCTTGGGTCTCTATTCAAGAAAGGTAAGGAATTGCCTATAGCCTTGGTGCTATTTTTCAAATAGGAGATCTGGAACCCCATTAACAATTTATTGTCAGATTGGGCCTAATGGTAGAGGAGACACTTTAAAGATGATTGAAATATGTGGACAATGATTCCCAGTTTGAAAATGATGGACCAACAACTCTTTGACTTTTTTCCATCTCAAAGAAATACTGAGCATGAAATATGTATGTGATCACATATATGTATTTGGGAGATTATACACCAGAATGTTAACAATAGTTTCACCATGATAATTTTAATTTTTGCATGTGTGTATATTTTTGTATTTTCCAAATTTTCTATAATGAATATGTAAATTTTTCATAAATTTATGAAATTTTTACAAAGAATTTGTGTATTTTAAATTTATATTTTTAAATTAGAAATTTTTTTAATTTGTAATTTTAAAAATTAATTATTGTGGAGCACATAGCCTCTCCATGTTCAATTATTTTACTTACAAAACTGAATTAGTATCTAATTGCCAAGCACATGGAAGCTGGATGGGTTGTTTCCCCAAATTCCCTTTCTATTCTTAAATCTAGAATGTCTATAAAACATTGGTTTCTCCTTTCAGGGGAAAATACAAGAAAACAAGGCAAATATCCAGCCACTTATAAAAAATATAAACATGCTTAAAGAGTTTTATATCTTTCTTCAGAATCTCAATCAAGTGGGCATTTATCAAAGTGAATGCATCTGCCACTTGCAAAAGAAGCAAGGCTAAGCAACCTTTTTAGACCAAATTTACTTTATTTTTAAATTTTTTAGATATACTTTGTAAGCTAATACCTGACACATTCTTTTTTTCAAAATGGTATGCTAAAATGACTATTACTGACTGAAAAATACAAATAATGAAGTTGCTATAGACTTGAATGTAACTACTTATGGGGCATGTTTATATATAGTGTGTGTTTGCTAAATAGCTTGAAAGTGACAAGCAGAAAGACCGACTGTACAGTACAGTAGTCCTATTTTTGATTTACTTCCTCTTCAACTCTTCTTCTATCTCCCCTTGCATGTTCTTACTTTATCTATTTTTTCCTCCACAATTTAGAAGACAATTGACCCCATCTAAAATGAAAAGCAATATATAAAGCAGAAAAATCCATTTGGCATGGGGTTTGGTAAGTCTCGTATATATACTTCTATATACGAGAGTACTTCAAAAAGTTTGTGGAAGAATAGAATTAAAAGATAATATGAATCCTTCCATGAACTTTTTGAAGTACCCTCCTGCATGTATGCATACATGCCCCTCTCCCTGGTCAAGAATGGCCTAGCTGAATCCTTCTTCCAAACGGCCATGGTAAGTCTCATTGGCTGGGACTGACTTAGATGTGTGCGGCTCCTTTGACTGCTGGACAGCTCCAAGTCTCCTAGGAGTACTTTCCTGCCCACCCCATCCTTTCTGTTTAATTCTCAGTGCTGGTCCCCTCCCAGAAGTTGCAGATTCAAGACAGACTGAGGAAGGTGACCAGAGGAGACTCCTGTCCTTCCAGTGTGGTGTGTCACCAGCACAAGATTAGAGGGTAAGCTTCAGAACACAGAATTTAAAGATGAACTTGAGAGCTCACCTTAGTTAATTTTCTTTAGATGGATGTGTCTCTCGTAGAGCATGCCTGATAGTCATCCAGTCTGATCTTAAAATTTTCCAATGACAAAAACTATCCTACTTTTTCCACTTTTATACTGATAAATGGGTAGATAGAGCACAAACAGCATTATAACCATAAAGCCAAAAAGAATAAAAAAAGAAAAAAAGAACAATTCCTAATCCTGCCACCCTTTAAAAAATCAACTATTCTCAAATTTCTGTTATTCATCCAGGACTCAGTCTCAAGTAAATATAACCCTGTATGGTCCATGAGGAATGCAATGAGGCTGACTCATTTGGCTGAAAGACACGTAGGAGATTTTATTGGTCCATGGTGTTTATCACCATGAGGGCCAGACCAGAAAAGAAAAATTGTGTAAAGAATTTATAAGCCTCAGTACCACGGTATTGTCCAAGTCTCTTCCTAATTCATTCCCTTTTGTCACTCTGACATGTGTAGAACTGAAGAAAATTTTTGAGCTTGTCTTGTCTGGGGACCTTTCCTTAAATGATATTCCAACATTTACAAATACTGAGTTGAGTAATGTGTTTCTAAGTTACCTAAATTTTACATATTATGGTATTCCTTTCAGAAGAATTTAGGGAGCTCAACAGTATTCCAAGACAGCTAGATGTAACAACACAAAGAAGAAAAATAGCAAAAGAAAAAGTCTTCAAATATAGTGTGCTCTGCGGAAATAGTCGGATAGCCTGTCTTTTCACATTGGCTATATGAGAGCCTCTTTTAAAATGAGCAGTAATGATGAAAGTGGATTTGAGTTTGGGGGAAGCAAATTTGGAAAATCAATTAGCTAACAGAAAGGATAGAAGATTGCGAACTATAATTTTGTCTAAGTAAATAGAATGAACATTTTTAAAATGATTATTATTTTAATGAAATGTAAAAAATTTGAACAATACCAAAGAATATAAAGAATAAAACAAAAAAATTACCTTACATTCCACCACCTAAAAATAACCACCAGAAATGTTAGAGACTATCATTCTAGACATGGAATGAGAGATATTTTATAATTTTAAAAAGTGACTTACGCTTGGGCAAATAAGCATGGTCTTATTGATGACTGTGGAATTGAAAGAGATGCAAACCCTGACTTTTTAAAATGTCTATTTCATCTGAAAATTTATGAGAGGAAGGGGATTAATTAGAATTCTCAGTCTGTAAGCAATTATAAGAATATAAATTCAATGGAAATTAGCAAATATTTTTATTTTCTTCTATATATCCGTGATCTAAACCTCAGTTCAGCTGTGTCTAAAACATATTTTAATATATGTTCCCCTCATGCTTTTCAGTTTACAAATCAACTTTACACTGATTCTCCTGACCATGTAAAAGACCACGTAAAATAATTAGGGTTGATGTTTAGCTGGAGCCTAGCAGTTTGGCCAGTCTGGTTGCTCACGGCCAGTATCCATTCTGGTTAGCTGGACATCTGTTTTGATAGGTCAGTGCCTGTGTCATACCAGTTACTAAATATTTAAAACATCACTCCAGGAATAGGAAAACCTAAAATTTTGTCTAGCACTTTACAGTTTGGAAAACGCTTTCACTCATTTCTCATCTGATGCCCACATTCCCACCACTCTTTCCTTTGCAGCAAATACTCCAGCAAAATCATCTACTTATGGTTCTTTGAACATGCAACTTTGTGCCAATTCATATTTCCATATCCTAGGAATATGTTTCACTCACATGAGAATAGCTTTCCATGGTGAAGGGTCAGACGGATGGAGAGGCAGATGCCAAACACCTCGGTCTTCCCAGGGGAGGGGACGATCACTTTGCCCTATGTCTTTGCAGAGGTAACGTAGCAAGCCAGAAAGGCTGTGGCAGGATCTCGATCCAGCAGGGTTCCAAGATTATGGAAATCATATTATTCCTGGTACAGGAGATTCTGTCTGATATTCTGGATAAATTCATGCCCATCACTAAAGGCAAAAAGCACACACTCTTCAATCCAAACTCCCATTTCAATATTCACTAAGAAAATGACTCTTATTTAGCCAAACCTACTTCCCCACAAGAAGAAAGGAGGTACCTTTTCATTACAAGTAAAGGTACACAATAATATGAAAGTCTTTATATAGCATATCAAGGCCCATTTTTTGTAGTTGTACCTCTTTTTCTGCGCATACTAAATATTTCCTCGAGCCAAGCTTTATTCTTTTAATTTTCTAATCTTTGGTGTTTTAAAAATGTGTCACTTTTAACCACATTTACTTATTAAGAAACTCCCTCCGTAAGATTTCTTCTTTTGCAGAGACTAAGTAATTTTTATTTATTTAATATTTCTTTTTGAAAAGGGAAGAGCTCATAAACATACCTCATTAAACTCATGTTTGGGTAAAACTTTAGCTGGAAATTTTCAACGTCAAAGGAAATTTTGCTCCATTATGTTGCAAAAATCAGGAACGTTATGGTCTTTATTATCTGTTAAATTCAAGGAACGTTGATACTGATTATCCAATTGGCAGATTATCCCGGTTATTTCTATTTAAAATGTGTATGGGGGCCGGCCTGGTGGCGCACTGCGCTAGTGCGCCGCTTGGGAAGCGCGGGAGCGCTCCCGCCGAGGGTTCGGATCCCACACACAGAAAAATAAGAGCAAACTAAAACCAAAGCAAGCAGAAGGAAGAAAATCACAAAATTAGAGCAGAAAGAAATGAAATGGAGGGCCGGCCCGGTGGCGCACTGCTGCAGTGCGCCGCTTGGGAAGCGCGGCAGCGCTCCCGCCAAGAGTTCGGATCCCACATACAAACCGGTTCCCGCTCACTGGCTGAGCGAGGCGCGGGAGCAACACCGAGGGTTGCGATCCCGTTGCCGGTCCCGGTCCGGTACGGGGGCGACACTGAGGGTTGCAATCCGTTGCCGGACACGGAAAAAAAGACAAAAAAAAAAAAAATGTGTATGGTAGCTCTCCCCTCCTACTTACATCTGACTAATGCTAATACAAAATTAGATGCCATTTCCTGACTTACTCACCAGCTTAAACACTGAGAAAATGAAGGTCAAATAGGTGAAGAAGAAAGCCAATATTTCCTTGGTAACCCACATATCACAGTTGAAGGTAATTGCTTAATCAAAAGTACAGATTTTCTGTGCATTAATAGCTGCTTATCTCATAAATACTAGAACATTCGACCAGCTGACTGTTTTTACTGAAAAAAAGTATAAATTTTAGTAAATTAAATCATATTTTTCCACTGACATGTTTTAATTTAAAGTTATAATTTTATTTGTAGTTGATCCTTAATTGAGAGTGACATTTAACTCTGACTATTGATACTTATGCATATCAAAGTCTGCAAAGTCAATGCCTCTGCTACTTTGTCTTACTGTTATTGTATATAAAGAGCAGGAGCCACATTGTATGCAAAGGAGTTAAGGCCCCACTTCAAAATACTGTTTCTTCCTTCTGTAAATTCATGAAGTAGCCATCTCAATTTTTTAATGTTTGTAATTTCAAACCTCATTAGCATTCACTAATTAGGCACATTAGGGAAAGCACCAATTTGAATTAATGAAAACTTTGAATGCTGTAATATAAAAATATATCGTTGTATCCCTTTATCGTGAAACGTACAATTACAGGAGTCTATAGTGAAGTATTTCCACTCCTGGGACTTCCTTAATGATGGATTCTTCTTTAAGCTTTAGGCAAATGGGTGTTGCTAGGTTATCTGAATATATTCTGTTCATATTTTCTGAGCAATTACTATATGCTTGGTATCATGCTAGAAAAATTTTGTCCTCTTGAATTCACAATTCTAAAATTTAAATTATCGTTCATTTTGCCTAGTGACACTATTTCATGCTTTATTCAGCACATGTCTAAATGTACTCATTTATTCAAAAGACACTTAACAGTTACAATGGGTTGCAAGCACAAATTCAAAATGACTGCGGTCTTAAGGTAAAAGTCGTTTACCATGTGGACCAACACCAATCAATCAATTAATCAACCAATAAATCAACAAGTTCTTTGTTCTAGCTAATATATCTAGTTCGGGGTTTTTCATTCTTGGCACTATTGACATTTTGGACCAGATAATTCTGTGTTGTGGTGGGCTGTCCTGTGCATTACAGGGGCTTTAGCAGCATCCCTTGCCTCTTTCTGTTAGATGCAATACCACCCCCACTTCTAGTTGTGATAATCAAAAATTGTCTCCAGATATTGCCAAATGTCCCCAGGGAAGGGGGGATTGACCCTGGTTGCGAATCACTAAGCTAATGCGTATATTTTGCCTTCTTTACTAGATTATGAAGACCTTGAGGGCAGAGACACAGTCTGACTCATCGGTCTAACACCCTTTCCCCACCAACTAAATTTAGTTTCTGGCATAGAAATGCTTCCGGATGAACATTTTGAAAAGAACAAAATAGTTCTGGAGTATCTCTACTGTCATCAGCCCTGCACAAGGCACCTTGGTAAACCTAGAAGACGAATAAGGTAATTGAGATGTCTAACAAATTTTTACAATTATCTGTACTGTATACCCACTTTGGTGCCAAATGCCTACATTTGTGTAGGACTTTACCGTGATGAAGCACATTTCACTTAACACTATTTGATCCAAATACAACGCTCATCACTTTGTCCACCACTGTTGATAATTCAAGCCCCCAAGTCCTAGAACTGTATTCTTAAGCAGGAGTGGGAGGAATTTTGATTTTAGTTTATTAAAAGGAACTCTTAGAATTGGTTTAATAATATTAAATTTAAAGTTCAGATTCTTTTTTGTCATGTTAGATGTAGAACATCTAAAAGGCTCTCCAGTGATCTAAGTAATTCTGGTTTACTTAGATTCCTGGAAATTGCCAGAGGGCTTTAAGGGAGGAGGGGAAAAAAGAGTGAGGAAATTTTCCCTGTGGGCAATTGGGGAAAACAAAAATATTTTTGTGCTGTGGAGACTTCTCAGGAAAGGAAGGGCTGGCCAGCAGCGGCTGCATCTGCACAAGGGGAATTTCCACATTTGGGAAAACATGGTCATAATTAATGACTTAGGAAAGCCAAGAAAATGGACCATGTTGGAAAAATATAATCTTCAATGGCCAAGTCATTGTCAACTGATTGGATCAGAGAATCGGATTGTTTTAGAAAGAGATTTTTATCTGGATATTTGCCTATTGGATCTTCCTTCTGTGGTTCCAAATACTTTGTCCCTGCCTGGGAATCAGCTTCCCAAAGCAAGACCCACTCTCTGTCTCTCCCAGCCCTCTGGGAATGTTCGCTTTAGACTTCTGGCCAGAACACTGGCCTGGAGTCTTTTGCTTTGAACATGATGCTTAGATCTAGCCAGCCGGGCTATTAGCATTCATTAAAATAGAGACGATTATCCAGGATTCCGGGACAAGGGTGGGAGGATGAGATTGCCTGATCCTAATGCAGCCATCTTTTCTAAGGGCTCCATGTCCCAGGCCCTGTGCTAAGAACATTGAAAAATTGTCCCAATATATACATGAGGATACTGAGGCTGAGGGAATTTAAGTCACTTGCCTAGGGCCATACAGCTTTTAACTACCAGGCTATACTTTTTCCTTCTCCTCATCCTGTATATAAAGTCTACCTCCAGGGCCGGCCCGTGGCTCACTTGGGAGAGTGTGGTGCTGATAACACCAAGGCCATGGGTTCAGATCCCTATATAGGGATGGCCGGTTTGCTCACTTGGAGAGTGTGGTGCTGACAACACCAAGTCAAGGGTTAAGATCCCCTTACCGGTGATCAATAATAATAATAATAATAATAATAATAATAATAATAATAATAATAATAATAATAATAATAATAATAATAATAATAATAATAATAATAATAATAATAATAATAATAATAATAATAATAATAATAATAATAATAATAATAATAATAATAATAATAATAATAATAATAATAATAATAATAATAATAATAATAATAATAATAATAATAATAATAATAATAATAATAATAATAATAATAATAATAATAATAATAATAATAATAATAATAATAATAATAATAATAATAATAATAATAATAATAATAATAATAATAATAATAATAATAATAATAATAATAATAATAATAATAATAATAATAATAATAATAATAATAATAATAATAATAATAATAATAATAATAATAATAATAATAATAATAATAATAATAATAATAATAATAATAATAATAATAATAATAATAATAATAATAATAATAATAATAATAATAATAATAATAATAATAATAATAATAATAATAATAATAATAATAATAATAATAATAATAATAATAATAATAATAATAATAATAATAATAATAATAATAATAATAATAATAATAATAATAATAATAATAATAATAATAATAATAATAATAATAATAATAATAATAATAATAATAATAATAAATAATAATAATAAATAAAGTCTACTTCCTAAATTGGAATGTTCTCACTCTATACAACCTCTTGCTTACTTAACAGTTACCTTCCTCTTCCTCTTCCCCAGATCACTTTGTTTAAACTAGATCTGTCTCAGATTGTACCCACAGTTGCCTTTTATTCTCAGGAGGAGAAATCCGGGTTAGCAGGCTTAGCACCATTCATGTCTCAGTTTACTTAGGGAATGATTATGTGGTCAGAGCATTCTTAACCTGCTTTTGGTTTTCTTTTATCTCAGTGATCAATTTTATTAAAACAGGTATGATCATCTTTTGCCTCTTCCCTCATAATTTTCTCAGCACCAGAAATGGCTTGCCAAATTGCAACAGACTTTCCAAGTTATTTAAAAAGGGAAATGTAGCTAAGAAAAAAAAAATCCCTATATTTGACATGTAGATGCAGCATCAATGAAATGCAGCACATTGTTTTGTGAATTGAAAAAGCTGCAGGTTGAATCATGTCCCCCTGAAGCAACAATTCCACACTCTGAACGCTTATGACGCAGCTTCTAAAGTTAGCCCTGTCCTGCAACTGCAATGAAATCTGGGAAAACAAACTTAAGTAGGATTAGAGTCTAATTGCCCTGGATTGAACCTTGATGAGTATTATTGTTAATTTAAAAATCACAGCATTTGGAAATAATTTAACATATTTCTTTTCTGTTGAACTTAAAATGTATTAATTAAATCTTATTAATTTCTGTTTTCTGAGTCCTTCTTGGGCATAGCCAGACATCATCACCTTTATTTAGACATGTGAAAACTGAATGGATGTGTTAGTTTTCTACTGCTGTGTAACAAATTACCACAAATTTAGGAGGCTAGAACAACATCCCATTTATTCTGTAGGTTATGTAGTTCCATAGGTCAGATGTCCAGATCGGCTTGGCTGGGTTCTCTGCATAGAGTCCCCATAAGGCAGAAATCAAGGCAATAATCTGGCTGGACTCTTATCTGGAGGCTGTGGGGAAGAATCTATTTCCAAGACCATTCAGATTGCTGGCAGAACCCAGTTCCTTGTGGTGATAGAACTGAGGTCCCTTCTTCCTCCTGGCTGTCAGCAGAGAGATATTGGCTGCTACTAGAGGCCGTGCACATTCCTTCTCACGTGGCTCTCTCCATCTTCAAAGCCAGCAGTCATCTTCAATTCTTTCTCACATTTGGAATCTCTTTGACTTCCTCTTCTGCTACCAGCTGAGGAAAACTATTCTTTTAAAGGACTCACCAGATTGGGCCAGGCCCAATATTTTAAAGTAAACTGAGTTGGGACTTAAGTTAACATCTGCAAAATCCCTTCATAGCATACCTAGATTACTGTTTGACTGAATAATCAGGGGATGGGCATCTTGGGCTGCCATCCTTAGAATTCTGCCTACCGCAAGGAAATAGTTACCCAGTTAACCTGAGATGTGATCTGGAAACAGACTCTCAACAGTATTGAATAAAATAATTTAATTTTTAATTTTATGTCCCTTTTTGTTTTGTTTTTAAATGTATATATGGTTTATTTTTTAGTATATACACTTTTGGGGGTACACCTCCCACATTTTTCACCAATGCATGATCAGAAATGTCACCAAGGCTGGTTTGGGACATGCTGTGTGTCAGGGGCCTGTGGATGTCTAAGAGGTAATGTCTAGGCTTGGAGTAGACAAGTGTGTGTGTGGTGGGGAAGATGGTGTTGGCAGGTGAGGAAGGCATGGGGCTAAGATTTAGGTGAATACAGAGGAATAATTTATTCCCATTTTTAATATATTCACTGGAGAGGTTTGAAGATGGGAATCCTTTTGTTGTTTTCTATGGGCAAGTCCAGAAGTTCAAAAGCTGAGGGATTCTGTGTATGTCATTTATGAGCAGCATTTGAGGATGTCTGTACACACAGGGGCATTTTGGAGCATGCTGGATTAGCATCACCAGGATGCTGTGCCCCTCATGCAGATCTGAACTTCCCAATCTTTTTGTTGCACAATTTCAGTGTGGCATGGCCTCCCAGAGGTACTAAAGGTCTGGAATACAGGCTGAGTCTGTGGGCCCAGCTGGCCACTGATCCAGAAACTTACAGAGGGACACGTGGGGTTGGGACAGACTGGAAAAGGCTGAGAGGATCATAGAAAGGGAGATGAAAGACGATAGTATGTTAGTTTCTCTGATTTTATTATTTTACCTAGAAGACAGCCTAATGAAAAATCTAGTATTCTGGTCAAGGGAGTGGAGATGGTTTTAGCCTTTAGAAAGAACATATATAGAAATGTGTAAACCTAAGAAAAAGTCAGAACAATTCAGAGACTAAATATTTCTCTCTTCTTCCAAGAGCATTTGAGTGTTTCCCCTCTTGAAATCCTGGCCAAAAATGGAGGGGAGGAGGACATTCCCCAAATGTTTCTTTAAAATTGTCCCAGACCTTCAGAAAGTGGTAAGAAAACACTATCATATTACAGTATTGAGCAAAGAGAAAGAAGTCAGTGGAGAAGGCATTCAGTAACTGTTGAAAGAGCAACACGATTCAGAGAACCTGTGGTGTGTTTAGGTTTGGAAAGAACACAGGAGCACAGAGGTAGGGTGGACGAAATTCATGTTGCTTATTGATTGTCATGTCTTAAAGCAAAACGCATTTTGTATTCTTTGACTAACAAAGTGATTTTGCTCCATAAAGGATAACTCTCTAAGGATGCTGATAATATATTACAGACATTATTTTTATTCCTAAAGTTTCCACTTAAAAAATCTTTCCCTTCATTTATTTGTTCATTCAGAAATATTTGATGAGAATCTATCATGTGCCTTGATCTGGGTGCTAGGAACACAGCAGTGAACACAACAGATGAGGTCCCTGCTCTCGTGGAGCTTATATTCTAGTGTGGGGGGGATTGGAAAACAAGGATAGACTTGCATTTTGTTACATGATACATAAAGATGTAAATATGGGGATCTAAATGTAAAGATGTAAATATCAGATTGTGATAGGTGAGACAGTGGTAGCAACACAGAGAAATAAGATAGGGTGAAGTGGTGGATGACCAGGTGG